CTATTAATACTTGTTCAAAATCATTGCTTTTCATCAACTTTCGTATATCAGGCCCGTTAACAACTCCTAAAAAGTTTACATAAACATAATATATTATGATGATTTATAAAACTAAATCCTTACCATTCAACAATTTTTGTGCGCTAAGTCCAGGAAAAATTGTTCTTAAGCAGTGAAAGACATTTTCCTTTTTGGCAACACATTTTAAAAAGTTTTTAACGATACCCAGCTTTACATGAAGAAGTGGCATCAAAATTTTCTCGACAGGTACCAGTGGAACACGAACAATATTTGTATTTTTAAACTGACTCTCACTTCTAGCAACCCAGTCATGAGTAGCATATTGGTCGCCACGGTATCGTGTATTCCAGTCACATAAAAAGCACATATGTTTTACATAGCCACCCTGCATGCCGCAAAGCATTGCCACAACCTTCAAATCGCAACAAATTCGCCACTGGTTTTCGCTATAACGAACAACTTCTAATATAAATTTTAATTTGTCGTAAGTTTCTTTGGTATCCGTGCTATAAGCTATTTCTACGGCCGGCTTATTATTAAATTTATGAAGAAGGACAGCTTTAAGGCTAAACTTGGAGCTGTCAATAAATAAACGCCACTCATTCTTTTGGTACCTAATTCCCATTTCAGTCATTAGTTTTTCAATGTCGGTGCAATATGCAAATGACTTTTCATTGTTTACACAAAAATTTTCTTTTAAATCTGCACTTCGTTTTCTATATGCCGTTACCTTTGTCCCTTGTGCCAATAAATTGTTAGAATTCAAAATTGATGCCAGTATTTCAGATTTTCTCTGAGATAACTCTAACTTGGCTACAATGTGATCCAATAAATCCTGCGTAATTTTCACTGGCTGGTTCGATGACGATGAAGGAGGAACATATTCTGAAAAAACATTAGGGCTACTAGGGGTGGTATAATTTTCAGAAAATGCTACACTTTTTGGAACCTTTGGGATTGGGATGGTATTAGAATGTGGTAATGGTAACTGAACACTTGAAACCCCAATATAAATTTTGTTTTTTGATTTGAGTTTGTTCAGTCCATTTTTAAAATTTACACACACATAACAATTTTCTTCTTCGTGGGTTCCTGGATCGAACCAAAGCATTGGTACACCAAAAGGCAAAGCAGCCAACTTCTTCCCTTTCCAGCGCATAAGGGAAACGTAGCATGTTTTACATACATTTTTTGGGGCCCACGGTACATCAACAACCACATTAAAATTAACATATAATGCATAGCACTTTAAGAAACTTTCCGTAAAGTTATTAATATTGCCCTGACAATTTGCCATGTTAAAAATATAATTTATATTCGCACTAAACAAGGTATAACGTTTAAATACTCAATTTACCGTTTCAGTTACAATATTTCGCGTATATAAAAAAATTTCTTAAAAACTGCTTCTTTACCTTATTGAATGCAAAACTTTTTATGTGTAATAAAATCAAAGAGTATATAATATAAGGAAAATTGTAATTGATGATTAAATGATAAATTTCCATTAAGAAAAAACATTCAGAAAAACTGTTTTTGAAATATTTTTGATAAAAAATTACGTTTTATCGCATTTTTATGCTTGTTAATGTGGTTATTTTAAAATTATTTTTTTTGTAGATATATTTTAATTAACAGGAAATAAAAATAAAGATAGTTTAAAAATAATTCAAAAATATTCCGAAAATCAATTTAAATATTTAATTTTATCAAAGAGTATATTAATTAAAATATATCTACAAAAAAAAAATAATTTTAAAATAACCACATTAACAAGCATAAAAATGCGATAAAACGTAATTTTTTATCAAAAATATTTTAAAAACACAGTTTTTCTGAATGTTTTTTTTTAGAGAAATTTATTATTTTATTATAAATTACAATTTTCCTTAAAAACATTTAAATAAATATTAATAGCGAAGTAAGTAAACACAGATTACGCGAACGAGTCATTCAAACTTTAAGCGGTTATAACTTTGAAAGTCGAGCTAACTTTTTAAAATCCTTTGGGGGTTTTGGTCTACAAAAATAGTACTATCGATCCATCCAGACCGCATCCAGGTAATTTTTATACTGCTGCACAGTGTTATCTAATATGATGTAAATATATTTTTTGTAATATTAATAGTCAGTAGATGTTTTTGTTTCTTGATGTTAAGGTGCGTACTGACTTGCAACAAAACACTCCGAACGATCCAAACGCGCCGCGCGCGCTGCAACAAATTGTGCTAGTGAGAACCTCGCGCCGAACAGAACGGAACGCGCCAAACTTTTTCGGGCGATTGTCGGTAAATCGGATTTGCGCAAAGAGATTTTCGCCGAACGATTAGTTCGCAACTTTGCAGTGAGAACGTGTGTTTGCCGTGTTTGGCCTGTTTGTTTATTTAAATTAATTATTAAAAGTGCAAAGATGGAATGGAGCAGGGAAAAGTGCCTTCAATTAATAGATGAATATGAAAAGCACCCTTTATTATGGGATGCCAAAAATGGGCTGTATTTTAATAAAAATAGATGACGTCTTGACCACTCTTTTCTTTTTTTCTTCTTCTTATTACTAACTAAAGCACTTATAATTAAAAAAGCACCAGCCGCTATTATTATTAAATCATCTGCATCCATCCTGACGAACACACCAAATGCGGGAACGCGACGAACACAGCAAATGCTCGCGAACGGCACGAACCTTCACAAACATGTTTGTGGCATTCGGCGCAGCGCGCGCGGTGCGTTTGGTTCGTTCGGAGTGTTTTGTTGCAAGTCAGTACGCACCTTTAAAATGCAAATAAACTGCGCACCACTCAATGTGTCGCGACCAAAAAGTTCGTTCTGTTTCAAAACGACATAACTTTTTTGTTTCTTGAACTATTTTATTTTGGTCTGTGTTGTCCGCTAGCCTCATCCTTTGGCAATTCATGCTATAGATATGTTCTTCAAGTAAATTTCCTACAGGGTGATATGTTAAACGGTGAAAAATTGTAATAACTTTATCCAAGCCCCGTTTGTAACAAAATAATTTTTTTCTCGGTTTTACTTTAAAATAATGAAGTATTATGTCTTACCTTGTACCGTTTTTCAAATTTTTCGAATTGGAATCTTAGCAACGAAAATGTGATTTTTTTTTCAAAAGAGTACATTTAAGGTTTTTTTGTAAGCAATACACTCATTCTTTTTAGGAACAAGAAGATAAGATGGTGAAATAATGTTCCTTAAATAATTCTAAACAAGCGACAAGCAACAAACTTCCATTATTTTTAGAGGGCCTAAGCAAAGACCACTTTTTCAAAATAACATTTTGGTGAAAATTTGAGAAAAATAAACCTAAACCGATATTTACGTTCGTGACATGTTTTATTAATAATTTTGACCTCCTGATTGTGATTCAGTTATCAAATTTAAGTTTCAGATAAAACCAAAAACCAAGAATCAAGATTCGAAAACAATTCCCGGATGTTAAATGTCTCAATAAAATACGATTGCTGAGTTTAACAATTTTTTTTACTGTGATTTGCATCTTTAGTACGATATTATCATGTCGCTGAATAATTAAATCGAAATCAAATCAAATCAAATGAAAATTAATTCTTGAAAACATTTAAAACGCATTATGAGGGATATTTTTGATTTTTTCAGTTTGCTTGTGTTTTTCAAAAAGTTTTTTTGCATAAGTTATACCTACCTATCTACATACCTACCCCTATCTTACCCAGGTTACTTCCATTCTTCCTTTAAATGATTAAAATACCAATGCTAGACTTTGCTGCAGCTACGGGAATTAACATGAGTTATTTTTGTTGTTGTTTGTTACATTTTTTCGCATAAAATTTTCCAAAATGTACAAACATTTTTTTATTTAACTTTATTTCCAATTAGGTAGGTTATCACTAGTGCGCAATGTAAATGTAACTTATGTAACATTATCCTAACCACTCAAACAAATTGCAGTAATTTCGCCCAAAAAATGAATCCCCAAATGGGATTTTAATTATGAATATGCAAGAAACACGCCAGCAATCGGATTTTATTAAGACATTTAACAGCCGGGAATTGTTTTCGAATTTTGATTCTTGGTGATTTTGGTTTTATCTGAAATTTGATAACTGAATCACAATCAGGAGGTCAAAATTATAAAGAAAACATGTCACGAACGTAAATATCGGTTCAGGTTTAGTTTTCGCAAATTTTCACCAAAATATCATTTTTAAAAAGTGGTCTTTGTTTGGCCCCTCTGAAAATAATGGAAGTTTATTGCTTGTCGCTTGTTCAGAATTATTCAAGGAACAATCTTTTACTATTTTATCTTATTGTTCTTAAAAAGACCGAGTGTATTGCCTACCAAAAACCCTTAAGTGTACTCTTTTGAAAAAAAAATCATATTTTCGTTGCTAAGATTCCAATTCGAAAAATTTGAAAAAACGGTACAAGGTAAGACATAATAATTCATTATTTTAAAGTAAAAACGAGAAAAAAATTATTTTGTTACAAACGGGGCTTGGATGAAGTTATTGAAATTTTTCACCGTTTTACATATCACCCTGTACGAAATTTACTTGAAGAACCGTGTGTTTTATATCTATAGCATGAATTGCCAGAGGATAGGGCTAGTAGACATTACAGACCAAAATAAAATCGTTTAAGAAACAAAAAAGTTATGTCGTTTTGAAAAAGAACGAACTTTTTGGTCGCGACACATTGAGTGGTGCGCAGTTTAGATTAATTTTATTTATTTAATTAAATACAAACATATTTGCTGGAACACCATGTACAAAATACAGTGTACATCCTCAGTTTTCAGTAAACATGTTATTATAACTATTTACAAGAATTTCAGATTCTATTTTCATTGAAATAAATAAATTACAACAGCAAAAATAATGAGCAGCTTAAATTAAATTCAGAATGTGATTAAATGGATGGCGCCTGAAACGCAGAAACGTGTCTAATTTCAATAATACTTCCAAGTAACGCACTAGTCAGATTTAGTTTCAGATTTTAGCTCTCAAGCAAATGTCGTATTAAGATAAATTGCAATGAATAGTTCAATTATAAGTGCGCTGCAAACATGTTTTTAAAGTTTTTTATTTGTGATTTTGTTTTAACAATTTTTATAATATTAGGTAAAGTATTATTTAGTATTTTATTTATACCTTTAAATCAAATAATATGGTAAATTTTAGTTTTTATAAAATTATCATGAACTTTGATTTATTTATAAATATTTTTTTTGTGTCCTAATTGAGATGTCGCACAGTGGGGCAGAATTAAAAAAAATGTTTAGGAATTTTTGTTTTTGATAAAATTAATAGTACCTACTTATATAAGTTATCGAGGTTACTGATTGCGAATTTGATCTCTTTGAGTAGCATGTACAAAAAAAAATAATTTCGATAAAGCGCCCCAAGTTTTTTGGCGTAGTCATTGAATATCAGATAGTGACAAGTTATAAATAGCGCAAAATATTTTAAGTAAATTTATACTTTGTGATGTCTTAGGGCCGGTTTTTCAATCATAGTTTAAACTTGGTTCAGAATTTGAACTTGGTTCAAACAAAATATGCCGTTTTTCAATCAAAGTTCAAGCTGGAATTTGGTTTAAACTAAATCAAAAGATGAACCGTCACTGTTGGCCGTTTAAACGAATTTCAATTTGACATAACTTAATTTTTCTCTGCTTTATAATAAAGCCTTTATTGTGTATTACGTTGTTTATTTCTTGTTTTGTGATCTGCTGTTATAATAAACCAATAGATATGTTTGAGGAAGTTAGTGAGGATGATGAGGAAATTTGCGGATTCCTAAATAATATTCAACTTCTTGTGCACAGGCCACGGGTAAGACCGAATCATTTTGTTAGGTGGAATAATGATTAATTATTTGCCAGTTTTCGGTTTTCCAGACCTTTTGCAGTGGTATAGTGGATTTAATTAAACCAGTTATTGCAAATCCGAGCAACAGGTTAGTTATAAAAATAATTACTGAATTGGTAATAGATTTTAGTAAAATTCATCACATGTAACAAAAAAAACGACAAATTCATTTTATACTATAAAACGAAATACATACATAATACCAATAATTCCTCCTTAAAAGAGGTAAAGTTGGCAGCACGATTTTTATCCATAATAAATAATAATTATTGTTCTTTAACAATATGTTAGACCCTGTATATTTATTTGGTAACAGTTTGTTTTTCTAATGTATATTAAATAATCTTTTAGTCGTGATCTTTAGGGTTAAAAAAATAAATAAGTCCATAAATTAAATTAATAAAAAGTTCAAATAGTTCAAGTAATTATTACGCATCATTAGATATTTCATAATTTCAAAGACAGCGCTTCTATTTTTCCATTAACTGATAAAAATTATCGCGCTGTATAAAAGCTCATTTTTAGAAACCAAAAGAACACTTACTACTTACTTCTCACTCACTTAACTTAAGATTTAACTTCTCGAATATTTAATTATTCATTTAATTATTATGTAAAACTTATTTACAATAAACGATCTTACGAGTCAAAGTGTTAGTTCTTCGTATCCCAACATAAAATTTGGCGCAGTCGTATTGGATTTGGTCACAAGAAGAAGAATCAAAAATCAAATAAATCAAGAATCAAAAGGGCAACTCATCTATATTTCTTCAACTTGGCGAGTTTCCACTCCTTGGATCAACAAAGAATCATCAAGCAACACAAAGAACCCTCAACCACAACGAAGAACGCACAAGACAGACAATATCAAACGTAAGTCGTTTATTCCTTTCTTTTTCCTTATTTCTGTTTCCCCATTTTATATAGCAGGTTTAAATCTTTTTTTTTACTTTTCTTAAACATTTATTTGTATTTTCGCGTCTTTTACTATTCACAATGCCTGAAAATAACCCTCAAACGCTTCGAAGTGCTGATAGCAGCAACATAACAGACATTCCTCCACACAAATTAGCTTTTCTTTGTTCACTTATACCTAAATCATTCGACGGAAATCGCACAGAGTTATACGAATTTGTTTCTAATTGCGAAAACGCCTTTAAATTTGCACACAATTCTCAAAATGAACCTCTTATAGCATACGTGATTTCGAAAATAACAGGTAGTGCAAAAGCACAATTGCGCGATAAAGAAATAAATGATTGGAAGGACCTTAAAGAACTTTTAATACAATTATACGCAGACAAAAAACATTACACACAATTAATGGAAGATCTTAATACGATAAGACAAAATTTTAACGAATCTATTCTATCTTTTCACAACAGAGTTGATAAATTATACACCCGCATTGTTAATTGTATTTCCGATAACGACGAAGGCACTCGCAAAGCCCGAGTTCAAATTATTAAAGAATTAGCTTTGCAACGCTTTATCCTTCATAGTCAACCGGAAATATCGCGTTTTTTAAGAAGTAAAAACTCTAATAATTTATCAGACGCTCTAACTAGTGCTTTAGAAGAAGAAAGAGCTCTTCAAATTTCGAAATCTAGTTCTTTAGGATCCCGTCCATCAAAATTCTGCAAAAATTGCAAAACAAAAACTCATAACACACAAGATTGCTTTAAAAATAAAAAATTTAACGTACAATTAAATAAACCTAGCGAAAATTCAAATACAAATAACTATTCAAATACAAATTACAATTCAAATAAAAATCATAAATCAAATGGAAACTATAACTCATCTTATCAATCTAAATTTTGTAATTATTGTAAAAAGAATGGTCATTTAATAGACGATTGTTTCAAACGTCAACGAAAAAATGAAGGAAATAGTTCCAATCAAAATATAAATTATAATTCAAATTTCTCCAATAATACCGAATCTTTAAACGAGAATGCGTCCCAGAACAACGTCGTTTCTGCGGATTGGGAATAATAAAAACCGACGTAAAAATCTTAAATAAGCCCTTTCTAAATAAATCTTGCCGTAGACCTAATAATTTTGGTTGTTATCCGGTTCCAAATAATTCTTGCCGTAGATCTGAAAACTCAGGTTGCTATCCGGTTCTAAATAAATCTTGCCGTAGACCTAATAATTTTGGTTGTTATCCGGTTCCAAATAATTCTTGCCGTAGATCTGAAAACTCAGGTTGCTATCCGGTTCTAAATAAATCTTGCCGTAGACCTAATAATTTTGGTTGTTATCCGGTTCCTAATAATTGTAACAAAATAATTAAAAATCTTAAAACATTTAATATTCTTTTAAATAATAATGTAAGTCCGTGTATCGAAACATATTGTGACAACATTAAATTAAAATTTTTAATAGATACGGGAGCATCTGTATCACTTTTAAAAAATCAAGCGCATTTTTCTACTTTATTATCAAATCTTAATATTAATGAAAAAATTTTATTAAATGGGCTTAGTGCTAATTCTCCTGTAGAAACAGCAGGAAGCATAATTCTTCACCTTAGTCTAAACGATCAACCTATACCAATTAAATTTCAATTAGTTGATCAAAATAATAATATACCCTACGACGGTATCATAGGAAACGATTTCTTATCATTACAAGGCGCAATAATAAATTTAAACAATAGTGAGTTACAATTAAATTCACTAAAAATACCTTTAAAAATTATATCTCAAATTCCTAATAATCATAATAATGAAAATTTATATTCAGTTGTATTAGAACCTAGATCAGAAACAATTATAAAAATTGAAATCTTAAACAAAAATTTATCACAGGGTATCTGTCCAGAAATAAATATTGCCGAAGGTGTATTTTTAGCAAAAGCTATTCTCAAAGTGGAAAATGGCACTGCCATTACTACTATATTAAATACCCAAAATCGAAAATTAAAAATAAATAAATTACAAGTTTTTCTAGAACCTTTTGAAGAAAAACAATCTACAATCTTTATTAATGTTAAAAATCAATCAGTAACAAATAATCGCATCAAATTACTTAAAGAAAATCTAAGACTAGACCATTTAAATCCCGAAGAAAAATATTCTATTTTAAAATTATGCGAGCAATATAACGACATTTTTTATCTTCCTAATGACACATTAACTCACACAAGTATTCTCGAACACGAAATTAAAACAACCGACCCTACTCCAATTGCAACAAAAATTTATAGATTCCCAGAAGTTCACAAAAGAGAGGTCGAAAAACAAATCGAAAAAATGCTTAAACAAAAAATTATCAGACCATCAGTCTCTCCTTATAATAGTCCCTTATGGATTGTACCTAAAAAATTAGACGCATCAGGTGAACGTAAATTTAGAATTGTAATTGACTTTCGCAAATTAAATGAAATTACGGTTGGAGATAAATTTCCCTTACCAAATATCGAAGATATTTTAGATCAATTAGGACATTCAAAATATTTTACAACCCTTGACCTCGCGTCCGGATTTCATCAAATTCTCATGAAAAAGGAAGATATTGCTAAAACTGCTTTTTCTAGTCCATTAGGTCATTACGAATATCTGCGAATGCCATTTGGTTTAAAAAATGCACCAAGTACATTCCAAAGAGCAATGAATGCTGCCCTAGTGGGTTTACAAGGCCTTCAATGCTTTGTATACTTGGATGACATCGTTATTTTTGGTAGTACGCTAGAAGAACACTCTTCACGTTTAAAAAATGTTTTTGACAGATTAAGAATTAATAAATTACTTTTACAACCCGATAAATGCGAATTTATGCATAAAGAAGTCGCGTATCTTGGTCATGTTATAAATGAAAAAGGTGTCTCACCGAATCCAAATAAAATATCAGCTATTAAAAACTACCCTCAACCTAAAACTCCAAAACAAATTAAACAGTTCTTAGGACTCATTGGTTACTATCGTAGATTCATTAAAGATTTTTCAAAACACGCGAAACCATTAACACAATTGCTTAAAAAAGATACTCAGTTTACCTGGGGACTTGAACAGGAAAACTCATTTTGTCATTTTAAAAATATTTTATCTCAAGAACCAATTCTTCAATTTCCAGATTTTTCTAAAGATTTTATTTTAACCACAGATTCATCAAACTTTGCAATAGGTGCCATTTTGTCACAAGGTGAAATTGGTAAAGATTTGCCAATCGCATATGCCTCTCGCACGTTAAATAAAGCCGAATGTAACTATTCTACTACTGATAGAGAACTTTTAGCGATCGTTT